GCTGCGATGCAGGAGTAGGCCAACCACAATGCACCTGCACACATGCCTTTGGAAGGGCTTGGAAGGGTTCTGCAAGGCTTAGCCAACTGCTTCACCCTGCGGTGTCCCAGGCGCCTCCCCGCCTAGGCTTTGGCTATAGGCCGGGGTCGGCGGATACCGGGCCACAACCAGACCTTTGGACTGCGTTTTTGGGGCATGAAACGCGCCCCTGCCCACTGCCCGGCCCCTGTGCCAGGGTGAGAATTGCGTGAAGGAGACCAATGTGGACGATCCGGAGGCTCCAGCCTCGAGGTCGCCCGGCCGTCAGGTGCCGATCTGGGTGCTGGGCATCGCGCTGCGCTGGTGGTGACCGAGGAGCGGCTACCGGAGACGATATATCGAAGAACGTTCTTCACTAGTCGCAAAGTTATGAAGCGCCCTAGTCTTCCACAGTGTGTTCCATTGCTGGCCAACGCGTGGGAAGAGAGGATGTGGAACAGAGATTGTTGTCCAGAGGGTCTTAAACGCTGCTGGATTAGACCATTGGGGCACAAAGAGGGGCTAGTAGTGGGCGCAAGGAGCTCTAGGAATGTTCAAGAATTGGTGCACTTGGATCATCACAGTCATGTTTGGGGTGGAGCGGTGATAGGGGACAGGGAAGTAGCAGAGAATTAAGATGCATTTGAGTATATAATATATATACATATATTCATAGATGATGTTCGATGTATTGTGATTCAATCACGCTTAAGTATTACTTGGCAGGATATGTGTTGAGCATGCCATGCTGCAAAAGCGTTTCGGTCACATTCCCCACTCACTCTCCCTGCAGGAGGTCCTGACAAATCCGTCCGTATGACTAACTCGTGGCAGTTCATGTGTGATCGTTGACAGGATAAGAAAATCTTTGGAGCTCCCAAATGGTGAGTCTCTACATGTCTCTACATAAAACTCATGCAGCAGTCTTTTGCGACTGAGCCTGGAGACAATACGGCTCCTGGGGGCGGCAGAGCTGACTCTCAAGCAGTGCAAAGGAACGGCTCCGAACAGAGAAGTTCTTTTTGGGAACTTAGCAGCTGGCTATAGCTGGCTGCGGTTGTTTGGGCTTGAGACGAATGAGCTCACTTTATGAGCTCACTCGCTTCACTAGCTGAGGGTTGCGCGTGTCACCGCCCTTTTCGCATGGCTGCCAGACAAAAAGGTGCTGTCATGGCACAGCTATGGTGAGGACTTGCTGGTATTCTTGGCTTGTCGGGCAAGCGGAGAGTCTTCAATTGTCTCGAAGAGGTGTGGTGTGCTGCCCCCCTTTCAGTGCCACACACACACTCTGACACTTGTATTCAGTTAACTCAGTTACCACGGTGGGAAGGATGGCGGTGGAACAGCAAGGTGAAATGTCCAGGCATTTGAAGGTGTTTGAACATAATTGTTTCAATCGCATGACTGCAGCGGCAAACTCAAAGTCAGCGGAAAGCGGCTGAAGGAAGCTGGTTTTGGGGACTAGCATGTGAAACCACCATGAATCAAAGCGTAAGTGGAAAAGCTTGAGCAACAGTTTCTGGTGCAGGTACGTCAGCAAGCGTCCTTGCTGATATCCTCAGGACACTGCAGAGAGCTTTGTTAAGTGGAGCTCTGCAGGCCTGCTCCACTCCCCTGCCTGTAGAAGGTGGTTGAACAAGGTGGTTGAAAAACTGTGGAAAGAGTAGCGGTGGAAAACCCTTTGTCCAGGGGTGGACACACACACACGCCAATGCATTTGCAGTGGGTTATAGGTAATTAGTTCTCCGCTGGACCGGATTATCGGATCATGTTTGGCATGTGGAAACTTTGGTATGGTTTTAACATGTTTGAAACATGACACACAGTTGTTCGGGCCCAAATTCCACAAAGGGACCGAAACCGTGATACCTTGTCCCGGGTCGTCCGATGTATGGAGACCAAGTGGACCTTTCGGAAGAGCTCAACGGCGGAGACGAAACAGGCCAATGCTATGCAGATGGTAATAGGGTATGCCTGGTAGCAAGGCCTGGTATATATATATATATATATGTATGCAAACATCGAAGGCACTGCGGCCTTTTGAGACCACCACCCGGTGCTAGTTCTGGGTCTCGGCGCTTTCGGATGGTTTTGGGGTGTCCACTCATGGCTTTGTGTCTGTCAGTTTCATTCGGCTCAAAGATCCACGTGCCACGATGCTTGAGCAGCGAGTGCTTTCGCGGGGCTACTCCCAGATAGACTGCAATGCCACATCAGGCGCACCGTGGAAGATGGAAGCTTGAGACACACGGTCCGTCATTGAGTAGCTGTCTTTATGGCCGCTGATGCATTACTGAGTAACTGTCCTGCACATGTCCGATGTTCACATGTTGACACGGCCCCTTTAGCTTTGTTGTATTATATAATATTATATACTTTCTATATACTTTGTATGTATTATAACTATAACATTAAAAAAATACTCTATATATATATATATATGCTTTTCGATAGTATATAATATCTTATTGGCCTATCGATCTCAGGATTTTATGGTGGTGGTCATGTTCGGAGGTCACGTCGCAGGGAATCCAGGAGGTCCTGGAGCATCCGGAGGGTTGATTGATGCTGGTGTGTTTTCTAACGGTAGAGCATTCGGAGAACATGTCAAATTGGCAGAACATGATAGAACACGTCAAATTTCTGTGCAACATTGTGCAACTGCATTTGTGAAGAAACTCATTTGGTCAGGCACTCCTGCACTGTCAAAGGGCAGAATCCTTCCTGCACTGTCAAAGGGCAGAATCGTTGCTGGCAGCTTGGTTCGCACTTGTGGCTAGAGTAATCAAGAGATTATGGAGGTAAACATTCAGGATGATATCACGGTGTGTGTGTGTGTGTGCACCGTCGCGTTGGGTAGGTGCTTGCTGCATTGACCTGAGGGCTTTGATGATTGATGAGTCACATGGACCAAGTTTCCATCGTGAATCATACTGTTGATGGATGGAATCCTGCACCTCCTTACCACATAAAACCCTATAGGGTCATGCAGTGTACCCCTCCTGTGCCCCCTCATTCAATCTTGGCGCTACGCCAGGCTAGAGGAGGTGGTGCAGGATTTCGGACGTTCAGTTTTTTATGTTTTTCCGACTGTGGTGGTCCCAAACTCAACGATGGAGAGTGAGGACAGCAAGAAGGTGTGTGCAAAGCGGTGCAGGGTTTTGTCCATCAACTGATGGTCCAATCAACCGTATCTCACTCCTTCCTTCCCAACATCAAGATTGAACACACGCCTCGTTGCATCATGGAATTCTGGACGGTGACTTCACTTTGCACAACAGATTCAACAGATGATTTGATTCTTCAAGTTGTTTGTTGACATGGTGATTTCCATTTGACAAATGCAGAATACACACATGTTGTTGTTGACATTTTGTGTTGGCATTTGACACCTGTTTTTTTGACAAATGCCAACCAGCTGAGCAAGCCCTCACTCCTAGGTCCTACTACTACTGGTAGAGGCTCAGCTTTGCCAATTTTTTATCGTTTTGCCAAGGTTCGGCCCTTGTGGCATTGGGCCTCGTGGCTACGGCCATAGCTTTGCAACGAGTTCATCCGGACAAATCTCACGTGGCTTAGCTGAAGAGAAGCCTCCAAACGACCTCAGACGATCTCAAACCTTTCGACATGCAGACGTGGGGTTAAAAAGGAGGGTCATCGACGAAGGTCCAACAAGCTCCCTACCTTGGGAGGGTCGTAGTTCTTCCCTTCAGAGAAGGCTGCAAGGACTCGAATTGGCGGGGTTCGGTGGAAGAAGATGTAGCTGGATAGGCCGATAGACTGTGGATGTCTTGAAGTGGTTGTGGAGCAGGGGAGTGATAATCTGGTCAATCAAGGGCGGCCGTTGAGTTGAGCCAGGTTTAGCTTGGACGTTTGGGCGAGATTGGCGAACATCTCGTAACAGTTTGGATTCTGAATGGGGGTGTCAGTCCTTCAAAAGCTTGGGGTGGTCTTCAGTGTTTATGTATGTATGTATGTATGTATGTTTGTTTGTTTGTATTTAATACATATTATATATATATGTTAGAATAGTTGTGTTCTTGAAGAGTTTCATTCAGCCATCTTGTCAATTCACTGTTGAAGGAAGACTCCGATTTTTCACTGTTCACGGCAACCGTTCTCGGTCCAAGAACGCGGTTTCGATTGATGTTTAATTTGCGTTCTGACATAAAATCACAGCACCTAAACATCGGGGGCCGCATGGGCATCCAAAATGAATGTGGCACTTGACCATCGACCTCCGATGTCACCGGACTCCGTCCCAAGAAATCGAAGGTTGGACTGGACTCCGCCATCGAACTGGCGCAGCCGGATCTCGATGCACTCAGCAATTCCAAGTTTGCCACTTGGACGCAGAAGATTCATCATGATTCCAAGTGGTGTTTCGACATTTAATTCCACGGTCATGCTTCATGGCGCGTCACGATTCCACGGCGTATGCAATGTTCTTTCACGTGGCTGTTAGGGCAGTCAATGCTGCGAAGTCATTGCTTACTGGCCCTCCAAACAATACGCTAAAACTTCCCGTCCTTTGACGGGCGCTTCACTGTTCAAGCTTTTTGATCATCTCAATTGAGCTCCAACCTGGTGGTGGGTGGGTGCTAGGCCTCCAAAAAAAAAAACAACTGTTCCATGATGACAGATGGCACAGGCTAAAAAACACACACCATGTCATCAGACAGTCCTGCGAAATCCATCGACTGCTATCCATATGGCATAGTGGGTAATTCGGACTGTAACGACACTGTCGAAGTCCTGGATGACCTCGCAAGCGACCGTCCTGGGCACTGGCCAGACCTTCTGCGAAGAAAAAGTCCAGGTCCCGCACCGCTCCAGACCGCTTTGCTTTGTTTCTCCAGGTGACCAACGCAAAGCATGTGAAGAGGTTCAAGCTCAACAACGGCACCAGAAGCCTGTTAGATGCTTGACCATTGGGTTGGTTGGTGGGGCTTTGTTTGTGGGATTTGAGAGGTCCTCCACAATAGATAGAAACAATTTCTACAACATCAGTGAACCCATCGGGGTTCCAGGCTTGATGCGAAGGTCCAGCCTGATGCGAACCACTCATGGAACCGTCTCGTGTCTCGCGCAGAGCTTTTGGTTCGGACTGGTGCTCCACAAAGGCAAATTTCTTCTTGTGCCACTTTGAGATGAAAGAGAAAAGAATTGATAAAATCAAGCTCTACAGAAAGTAGGGACTCTTGAAACCTGGCAGGGAACTGTTTGAGTAAACGGCAATACTATGGCTAAAGGGAGGCTAACGTGTTTCACCGATGTGGTGGGATTGGTTGGGAGGGACTGCAGCAAAGGCAGCAGTGACTCGATGCAAGGGATGTGTGCGCCATGCATAGGAATGAAGACTTGACCCTGGTTTCCTCCAGCTGGATCGAACAGATTTCCGTGTGCGCTGGTTGCCTTGGGCTTCGGTTCAGGAAGTAAATAGAGCTGAAACCAATTCTGCAATACAGTCTCCAGTTGTTCATCTCATGGAGAGGGCGACAAAGGGAGACAGAGACAGACAGACAGACAGACGGACGGACGGACGGACGGACGGACGGACGGTGACAAACAAAAAACTCTGATGTTGGGTGAGGATGCCTTCAAGGATGCCTTTCCGGACGAGAGGAGCCACTTGGTTTGACTGCCAGTGGGTTGGTGATCACGACCTTAAGATAAGGCTTTGGACAGCTTGATCAAGTAGACTCTTTTACTACCCACGACCTAAACCACCTATCACCAACAGCTGTCAGACCACCCAGCACATGCCCTCGACATGTTTGGAAGATTTATGATGCTTCGGCAGCAGTCCTATTGCAGCGGCTGGGATGTGCGCGAGAGTTGAGGTTGGTGGCCAACCAGCTTTTCCGAGGGACACAGTCCAAAGAAGACTCTCGGAGAAAATGGGAATGGAAGATGTGAAGACCGCATAGTTTTCACAGGAAAATGCATCAAACTATGCACGGAACTGCACTTCAACGGCGCTTCAAAAGAACCCACCCCAAATCTTGAATTGATTTGTTTTGTGGGTAATGCCCGTTGATATCGGTCGCTTTGTTCTTTTCATATTCAACCCTTCAAGTTCTGTGGTACCAGTTTCGTCATCACCTTTCCACCTGCGGCGGTCACGTTCTGCGGTTCTATACCACCGCGGTTGTCGTTGACCGTGCGCACTGCGCCGTTGACCCAACATGTTATCCATCAAGACAAGCAGAAAGCACAGAGGAAGTCTAGTTGGGGCCAGGCTTCCTAGCATGCAACTTTGACCAATCATGTTTTGTCGGTGTGGTCAACTTGGCGATGAGTAAAGGTCCACAGGTGATTTGGTGATCATCCTTCCCTTTGTTGCAACTTCTGCATCAATCCTTTGGAGGAAACTCTCCCGCAACCTCCCTCGAGAATGAGAGGAACCGCATCCCCATGCATGTTTTAGGAATGTTCCAAAATTCTAGATATTATATATATATATATTAATATATATATATATTCTAAAATATTATAGTAAGTTGGCAGCCGTTTGATTTTGGACCAATTCAAATTTCCCTAATTAGGCATTTTCTAACTGCATTCCCAAACCAAGACGCAGTTCAGCTCGAACAATGCAGGTAGAAACGGAGGGGATGTAAGAGTTAGGATATGAATGGTACTCAACTTTGGCTGCCCAACTGTGTGTAGTTGTGTGCATGTAACATATATATATAATATAATGTAACATAGTATGCACATGTATACCCATTATACATATCTCAGTTTCCATATTCTAAGTGCATGTTTTGCATTTTCTCACTGCGAAACCTACATTCCAACTGCATACAGCCGGGGGAATTGTTTTTTTTTGTGGTTTCCAAAGTTTATTTGCAAGTAGTTGCTTTTAGTGAGTTCCAACTGCTGGCAGCTTGCCCTCCAGAAGCAACTGAGGACCTATTCTTCCAAAGATGTGGCTCTTGCGGCCCCTCGACTGGGATACATGAGATGTTGGAAACAAAGCCAGGCATACGGAACTCCAAAGTTCAAGGCATCAGTTCTATCTATAGCGTTTTTGTTATGCTGGGACGGGACTGCCGCCACCCATGGTCTAACTGTCGGACGTTTCCATGTGTGATGACCCACCCAGACTGGTTACGAGTGGAACGGACCGAGCCCGGACTGGTCACGGGCGCTTGGTTTGCCGCCTCCTTGAATGGTCGCAGCCCCCCCCAAGACGGCACATCGGCTAAGCCAGCTGAAGACACGAAACACCCGAAGGATGAACACAGAGATGTAATACACCATGGTTTTGCAAGAAATATCGATCACTTAGGACCTAAAAATCAATCTCGAGCTCCACGCTTTAAATAGGGGGGAAATCTTGGGGCCCGGTGAAGACAGGGGTTCAAGAAATTCACCTAGACCAAGAGCAGTGTTTCAGGATGACGGTGCAGGTATTTATTGAACGGATCTTTGAAAAAGGAGCGCTCATTTTGACAGTTCTTTTTCAGTTCACATGTCAACACAATCACAAGCCATAATGAGTAGAATCCTATGACCATCCTATGACCCTGCTTTTGACGTGCATTTTTTTGCGACCACCGCGCCGGCAGGTCGTCGGTGAGATCATGGCCAAGCCCCCTTTCAAGGCAGCCGTTCCCGTAAACGGTGATTCGCCGCTTTCGTCGTGGGACCATCCGCCCAGTTGTGGGACCATCCGAAAGAAGCATCAGCGCCATCAGATCAATCAGCATAACATGGGGATACATGGGGTGTTGTTGGGATTTGTTGGGGTCAGTGGAAGACTTGGCGTTTAGACGTCCTCCTTGCGGCTTCGTTCGAACGATCGGACCGGATGCTGCGTCCTTTGCGCAGGACGATTTGGTCCCCATTCCCTTCACCCAGGAGGGCGGAGAGGATCAGCTGTTGCCAGGAGAGCGAAGATCGGCGTTGCGCCTGCAACAGATATGAGTGTCTCAAGAAGAGCTCAGAGAAATCAACCACTTTGTAGATAGAGGAACTTAGAATAACTTCGAATAGAATTTCCCAAGGGACGTGACTCTCATGTCCAGTCCGTTTCCGTTGAATCAGAGGCCTGCCTTGTAAAGAGAACTCCTTCACCAGAATCTTCCAAATCATGCTCTACCATGGGCAATCATGGATGGTTTTTATTTGGGTGGAGTGCTTTCAAGGGTGTTGGGCAGATGATGGCCCGGCGTCCGCTTTTGGAGCCATGCAGCCTCCTCCCCGAGAAGCAACAAATCAAGCAATACTAAGCCACCTAACTACCCAATTCATCTAAGGCATGTGGCTAACACCTTGATCATTTACCAGATTTCGAGGGCCACTTCCTCGCTTCAAAATGTTCAGCTAGACGGCGTTCTGGAAAGACAAGTTTTCCAATCCTTTTGCTTCAGGAGAGTATGTGGGCTACACCAGACGGCAGGTATGCTATCTTGCAGCGAAGGCCCTCATGGGTGCTACATTCGATGGCTGCTTGAAGCATAGCAAGTGGTGTTGTCCCAAAAAGGGAGAATTGAGACTAAGAGGCGTCTTTTTGTTATCGTCCCACGGTACCCCTGACCAGCCTTTCTGTAGGGGCTGTTGGACATGTTTCCAGATGGGCAGGAATTGCTACTTCCAAACGAAGCTACCGTAAACCCGAGGCAGGGGCCTAGATTGATTTGCAAGGCCAAGAGCTTCAGGGTAGTGGACCTTACCAGTGTGTTCCTTGAATAGATCGGACATTTGTTCAGAGATGCGCAGACAATTGCATGGCCCAGGTTACAATGATGGTTTGTCGCGCTATTTGTCCAAAGAAGGCGTGAAAAGCGAGCGCCAACCTGGCCGGGCCGAGCAGGGCTAGTCAAGGTGTGAAGCAGGGTGTGAGGCACCTAGTCGTGAGCAACATTTACTGATTTCCAGGTACCCACAAAAAGGTCCTCAATGTATATATATAATTATATATATATATATTCCTCAATAAAACCCGATTGGTTGGGGCTTTCCTCAACTTATTGTTCCTTGCGCTGGCACTGAGCAAAAACCACTCAGTGAGCTTTGTGACAAGTTGCAGTGTTTCATCAGAATTCAAGGGATCATGTCGACCCTCATTACTTCTGACAGCCATTTGCATGGACCCGCTGCGTAAGCCCGGCAACAGACGAGAATCAAAAAGCCCATAAAGAATTGTTGCTAACGAGATCGATGCAGAGATGCAGAGAGTTTCAAACAGCTCAAAACAGCATCCTTTCCAATCATGGAGCTAAAAATAGATCTATGATGACGATCTATGTTTATTTTAGTCATCCCTCTTGTCAATTTGTTTCTTGTAGTTTGCCGACCGTGTAGTACACTCATATACATTCCTTTGCAAGAACCGAGGCTTCAGATGCGTACCCCTGTTTCGCTGTTTGACCTGCCCTTTCAATAAATTGAATGCTGTTTTGAATGGGTATCTCTACATGACCCCTACAGGTGTGGCTTCAACACATCGGTGATGGGTAGTTTACTCGTGACCTAACCTCGCAAGGCTCGGAGGCGTTTGTTCCGTGTCCGTGAACCAAATGACCTTTCCCCCAAACACCACCAACCCCTCCAAGTCCCGCTTCGGCAGCCATCGGCCACCCATGAAACACATCCACATCCGGCCGGATCTTAGATCCGGGGCGGATCGGCATGGCCCCGCGCCGAAGCGCGGCCAGGCCCGGGTGGCTGTTTGCCACGGAAGGGCGCCTTCGGCAAGGTGCTTTGGTCTTTGCTGATGTCCTGCGTGGCCGACCCATCTCTGCAAGGCGGCGAGATGAGGGGAGGGCTTCAGTCCAGCGGATGGATGTGCTTCGGAGGAGAATGGAAAAACACACCGGCAAAAGAGTCAAGGGAGAATTTCTCTGAAAAACAGAGCATGGAGTCAAAGCTTGTGGCTCAGCACGCGATGATTTCAATTCCTTGTGGCCCTAGGATGTTTCAAAAGGGCACTGAGGTCGAGATTGTTGCGACCCAAGAAACCCATGAACCCTCGCGAGCAGAGGCGGTGTTGATGCCATTTCTCAAGAAAATGCTCGGATTGATAAGGCATGATAAGGCATTCCGGGGTCATGCGCCTTGTAGAGATAAGGTTTATGCGGTTGGGACCAGCGTCCGCCGCTTCTGCAGTGGCCAACATTGGCCAACTCCGCTAGCACGTGGTGGCACATGGTAGCAGAATGGTTGAGCAGACAAGCCAGAAAGATGAGAGAGAGAGAGAGAAGGAGACAGACTGAAAAAAAGTAATCAAATAAAGAAAGAGAAGTGATCATGTTGCCCTTGAGGGCCTTGACGTGTGTATTGGCCAGCTTTTTTGTTTGAGTTGGTGCACGGTCCGGAGTGGTTGCCCACCGAGCCTGCACAGATGAGAAGCCTGGTCCAGAGCTGCTGGTGGTCCCTTGGCATTGTCGAATGCGGCAGAAGCGTGCTCCTACACGGATATGGTTCGTGTACCAAGGTATCAAGTTATAGAATAATGATGTGGGGTGCCTTCATCTATTATTCCTGCTGTTTGCTCAGCATACCCCGCATGAATAATGTAATTTACTAATATTTAATTACAGTACATGTACGTATATGTGTTGCGTTTTGTGCTGGGCTGGTGATAGGTCCTTTCTCTTGTTCTTGGGATGATTGGTGCTGCTGGTGCTTCAGGAAACAAGCCTAAGCGCATCTAAGAGCTATGATTATCACTATGCTGGCGTGTGCCCCTAGACCCCCAAGCCTGAAATGAACGAGCTTAGTGAAACCCTTGAAAAGCTTTATTGTTATTACCCACAGCCGTGGATTTCACACTGAAACTGTTCACGAGTTATTTGAATCTAGATGTTCTATGATAAGTTCCCGAAACCGATGCGTTCCCTTGTCCCAAAAACCTGCTGTTCACCGCTGCTCACCAGGTGAAGCAGCAACCGGTGGACATGTCTTCCGAGCGGCTGCAGCAACTTGCGGACATGACATCTATGTCTGGAGCAGCCTTGCGCCACATGACCGAACAGCGACCGCGACACAGAAACCAAAGGTTTCATGACACGAAAAGCGACAACCCCCGCCGCTGACCCCGCCGACCCACCTCCGACCCATCTCCGACCCACCTCCCACCATGTAATTTACAGGGTTTCGTGTGTGTGAGGTACACAAAACACCGTGTTTTACAGGGTTTATAGTTTATTGCGCATATCGAAGTGCGACGCGGCGAAGAGGAAGAAATGCGAAAATGCGGTGTTTTTCAAGGGTGGTGTCGGTAATGCGCGCCGCGCGGACAGGATTAATCGACATTTCGTGGATGTCGGGCACGCTCCAACAGCAACGGCAGAGGTACACAAAACACTGTGTTTTACAGGGTATATTGCGCATACTGAAAGGGAACGCGGCGAAGAGGGAGAAATGCAAAACCGCTGTGTTTTTCCAGGGTGGTGTCGGTAATGCGCTCCGGGCGGACAGAACCTGGCCCTCCAAATTACCCTGCACAGGTCTCAGATATGGCACACATAGTCGCATGATGACCCCACATAGGTCCCAGATATGGGAAACATAGCCTGCAGGTTTCGGACTGAGCTCAATCATGTTGAATCTTCACTAATCTTCGGGCCTCTGGAAGTTCTGTCAGGTGTCAGCAACTGAGCTCCCAGCTTGGTTCTGGATGAATATCCTAGTTTCAGGTGGTATGAACTCCATTGTGTCATCCAAACGTCCAGATCCTGGGCCTTGGAAACAAAGGATTGGCTTTTCCACCAGTGGATCAGCAGCCATGGGTAACACATGCAGCCCCAAAACCCACCTGTATATCTGGGACTCGCTGGGGTTCACCTGTCATTTGGTCAGTGGTTCTTTTCTTCGTCTTCGACGACGATCTTCCGTGCCGGCCCGGCGTGCCCTGGCGCTCGCCCCCCAACGCGGCAGCCCAGGTGTTTGTCGCTATGAAGAGGGCTCCGTCTACAAGATGGGTTTCCTGCCTGGAGTGCCCAAGAGCCCCCCCGCCGGGGTGCCCAGATGGGGATGGCCTCCTCCGGCTCCAGCACAGCGTCCGACGCCGTTGGGCTGGTTATGGCTGGTTGGACGATCGGTGTCAAGGTTGAACTGGGACTGTCAGCGCCATGATTTTGCATGGATGACGGTCAAATGAGTAGTACTGTTCCTGAGATGTTGATAAATTTTGTACATACATTTGTTCAACTTTCCACCGATCTAAGAGCAGTTAGCCACTGCATCAATCCGGTCGAATCACAATCATCACCGTCGCCCTCTCCAGGAGCTTTGCTCCCAGCCCTCAACCCAAAGAGGGGTGGACTATCTCTCGACGAGTGCCATGGGGCAGGCGACTGGCGACCGAACGTCGAAGAACGACCCGGGGTTGAAGAACGTCGGCGTCACCGGTTCACGGGATTGGCTGGGAACATGTGCGTCGTGCTTCTGGAGTAGATCCACACGTCTGCGGTCCGCATACCCGGATGTGATCCGGTGCTTACGTGGAACAGTTCGAATGGTGTTGAAAGGAAGGACTTCCAGCTTTGACACATCTTATGAGTACACCAGTACACCACTAATCACGCACAATCACACAAAGATTTTCGCAATCATTGCGCATTCGAGTTTGTTCTTGCCGGCAGAACCATACTTAGGGAATCTTTGAGACTATGCTTGGTTTGCTTGGTTGAAGAGCCAAAGTCTTGAGGATGAGAAAAGGGAAGCCTCAAAATCAACATCTCCATGATGGCTTGCCATCATGAGCCACCTCTTTTTGAGCCATCTCCACGTGGGTCTCTCTACCCTTGCCACAGGCTGCTGTGCTCCCCAGCAGCCGTGTCGGAGGACAGATCTATGGATACTGGGACCGGTGAACCCGGAACGGGGACGTGGGGTGTTTTGTGATGTTTTGTGGACCTGGAAAGACATGATGACATGGATAGGACACTCATTGGTCTGGAGACTGTGTCCGATGTTTTGTTTTGAAGTCGGAATGTTAGCCAATCATTTGTCGCAGTCTTGTTTGTGCGTTCGTTGCTCCTTGTGGGGCCTTGGTTCTGAGTGGGGGCTTTTGGGACCGTTGTGTAGACACAACAATCTGGACAACATCAGCTAGCAGTTAAGCATGCCAAACTTGGCAAAGGACTTCTAGATGGGTGGTGGTGGAAGGAATGTTTCTCTCGGAAGCAGAGATGATGCCCTGCACCCTTTGAGCTTTCATGTTGAACTGCACCAACCAGGTTAACCCTAAAGGTCCTCAAGAACCTGGCACTTGTGCTGCCATCTACCATTCAGCGCTTCCTTTGAACGCCCCAAGCTCTTCAAACAACCTGAGATAGTCAAGGCTTGTGAATTGTGTCCACGATTCACAGGCTGCACAGGTGCAGTTTCTACTCAACAGTTACCAGAGATTCGAACGCGCAACTCGACCGAGGTTCGAGTTGTGGAGGAGGTGGACTCGACGAGAACATCATGTTGCAGCTTGGACTCGATGAGAACAGTCTCCCCAACCCCGCAGAGGTAGATCAGTAGATGCAATGTGAACATGTTCCATTCTCCCTGGACCCCTGCACTTGGGTAGTCACTTGGTTTTTGTACCAATTAGATCCATGAATGTCCATGATACAGTATGGGATGAAGCAGGTTCCTGCGTCAGGCATTGCATATAACAGGAGCCAAGGTGCTGAGGATGAAGGTTGGCTGATTCAACGCAAGTGGTGCTTTGACACGTCTCAATTAGGCATGCATGTTGATCCTAAATGACTATATAATGTATTATTCATTCATTCATTCAAGGTAAGCAGGGTCGGTGATGAATAGTTTATTGAATTGGTATTCTGGCCCAAGCCAATACTGGGAGTGCCACGCCCAAAAGGATCGTACCCACCATGGATACGCGTGACATGGGTCACAGTGGCAGGGCCACTTAAACCACAGCACTTCAGAGACGAACCATCTAAAGAGCCATTGGAATCGCGCTGCTGTCCGATCTCTCCGAACTAAATGTTTAATGCCGAATGCCGAATAGATTTATATATATAATATATAATACATATACATATTCATATACAGTACTCTATACTAATTTATAGTATGTCAGATTTTATTGCATTATAGTTTGCTATTACTTTGCTATATATTTTGGATTTTATATTGATATATTTGACTATAGGACTAGTTTCGGATGGTTCAATCTGGAGTTTCTGAATATGAATAGTTGCACCGCTGACTTTTCCAATAGCTGGGTGCACCGGTGAGGTTTATGCCAGAAGTCGCTGTCCTAAGCCTCCTGCTGTCGGAGTCAAAGACTCAGCCGCAGCTTCAAGCACCTGCATGGGTTTTGGGCGCAAGGATGATTATGACAGGCGAGGATTGCGGGGGCGAAACGACGATCGATTAGCACGAGTCGGTACCATTTGTTGGGTCGGTTGGACGGCTTTTGGTCCTGGCAGATTGGCCTGTTAGTATGAGTCGGTGATGATTTTGGGGTTGAGGCTGTGACGGCATGAGGGTTCTCATGTCCCAAAGCTAGAAGAGGTCCTGGAAGCCAGAAGGTTTGCCCGGTCGAGCTTCAAGGGTTGGCTCAGAACTTCTGGCACTACGCACCTTCTTCGCTTGCAGGATTCAATGAAGACCCATGGTTCTTTTTTTGCAATTTTGTTTTGTCAAGATAATTGCCTTCGCTGAAGCAGCTTCGTAGGCTTGGATGGCACTGGCCACTGGATGGCGGGCATGGTGCCGGATGCCAAGTTGCGATTGACGCCTCCTGGCTCATGAGATTACTTTGGGATGGGAAGATCGGAAGAGCCTTCCTCAGGCTGTGGCACTCAAGTGGTGGCCTGCCAGATTTGTGTTCAGAGCACCTCCCCAAAGTCGACACAACACGTTCTATGTCACGCGGTGTTCATCAACTAACTACGGTAGGCCCTAGGCCCTAGGCCAGCGATGGGACCTTTGTCCAATCAGGTCTGATTTGACCACCATTCACCTCAATGGAGCTCCGCTATTGATGAGCAAAAGCAAGCCCTTTGTGGCCGTTCCGCCTGCGTTCCAGGCTGGATGCCGGGACGAGAGCTGGTGAACATCAGTGAAAGCCCATGGCTACTACCATCCATCCATAGTTAAACCTAGGCATTCTTGGTGCGCTAAACGGCCATATCTTGGAGGGAGACTACTGAGGGGCGCATGGAAATCTCATGGGTTCCACCATCCATCGCAGGTGTCCTTCCAGGACGTCGATGACCTCAAAGAGGCTCGACAAAACCGGAACCTGGACCAGCGCGCAGTGAAGGGCCAGAACTCCTTTGCCGCCCAGGCCGCGCCGAAGATGTGGCTGGTGGAAGGATGTGGTGGAAGCACGCGAAACCGAGACACATTCATCTATGATGCATGAATTGTACGTATCGGGGTGTTGGACTACACTGCTTCACAACGAAAAAAAAAAACTATACCTAGATCGGTCAGAGATGGGTCAACTGCTGCCTGATGTGACTGAGCGATTGAATCCGACTGCCGTTTGCAGGTGATGGCATGGTACCAGGCCTCACGGCATGGAGGGGGTGGCATTCGTGGGCCCCATCGCCCGCACAGCTACCAAGGGAGCTACCAAGGGAGAGCATGCCAAATCATGGCAAGTCTGGGTGGAGACATGTGGAGACATATAGTAGATGTGATGCCAGCAGATGCCAGCAGGTCCATCAGCAGCTTTGATCAGAGCAGGTCCAGATTGACTTTTGGAACCAGCGGCAACGACTCCACCATCACAAACCATTCGCTAGGAGTGGTTATCAGTGGTGTCGTTTTTGTGACACTTGTTTACTTCTCATTTGGAAGAGGTTAGCCTTGGGGGGACATCCAGGTGGTGCACTGGGTGGCCATCCGGATCATTCAGACCAACTGGCATGAGGGGTGTGATATAATCCGATGGATTACATTATTGGATTGGCATGGTGTGGACATTCCCACCAGATGGCCCTCATAAGTGCCACCAAGCCGGGCATTGCTCTGTCCGGTCCTGGGGATGAACCGATTGTGACCAGGAGCGCTGTTACGTGTGTAGGCTAAGTATGGACCAAGCAGACCGCGAAACTGAAAGAGACAAAGAGTCTCAAAGGGTGTGATCGGCCAAATCAAGATGATACAATGAAATGATACTGATGTAGGTTTCCTCTATGAAATGAGGGGGATCATTTTGGTTCATAAAACGTTCTTTGCCCCTTCCATTTGAAGGGCTCAACTCCCTATTTCATAGAGGAAAAAGGATGAACAAGGTGTGTTGCATGGTGTGCTGGAAGAAACAACTGCAAACTTGTGCTTTTCAGTACGGAGAGGTGCTTGAGTATCGATGTTTTCCCAGGGCATACCAAGATGCCTGGCTTGTTTTGCTAGCTGGCGTCTATATTATTCGCGCATACTCGTTCTTTGTTGCATATGCTTTTGCCGTCCCAAAAACGGGGTAGCCCTGGTCGCTGTTCCCTCGTTGGATGTCCACCATCCAAGGCCCTCAGCTTGGACGCTGTACCACCAGCATTGCGGCGCTCAATGCCATCACTGGCCGCTTGGGCTGAGCAGGGTCGGGAGGGCATGCAACCAGACGCTATGTCCAGCTAGTCACTCTGACGTGTTGCACCAAACCATGATCAACGGATTAAGATTTTGTTGAGCATGTAAAACACAATGGTTGTTTTAATTTTGCATGGTGTTTTCAATACGTGAATCTTTAGGTTGGCAACACTTAGTTTTGATCAAAACTCGGTGAGTGGGAACAGAGGATTTCGCATATATACATATATATGTCCTTGCATTCGGCCAGGGTCCTCTTCATGGGTCCCGGGTTGCAGGGATTCTACATTAAGCACTCGCTAGCGGTTAGGGCGGTGATGATTGTTCATTTTTTGATGTGAAGCGAAGCTGCTCGTGTTGCTGTGAAATTCATGATGCTGCTGTGAAATTGAGAATCATGTTCGAAAACAATGGTGTTGTGAAATGGATGCTTGATTCAGTCTCATCAGTAAGTATATAATATGTATATATATATATTTACTTTGAAGAGATCAAGAACTATGTGCTGAAGACAGTGATGATGTCATGTGAATTGGCATTTATGGCCTAAAATCGATAGGCATGTTGTGAAGCCCTTCATTTCCTTTGAGAAAACCGAGAGCAATGCTAAGATATGGTGATGGTTGTGGGGATATGGTGATCAAGTTGTGACCCCCATTGTGATCTTAGGGTGATGACTCCTGACGATAGAACTCGAGGGAAAGCGGGGCAAGCCATGGCAAGCCCCTGCGTTGACCCAACATGTTGCACATCAAGCGCAACGTGGCGGACTGACAACGGACCATGGAATCTCCTCAAATGAAGAGAGACCCCATCCAGGGCACCCTTGCGCTCCAAACAAACTGATGTCGCAGTCCACGAGCCAAGGTCTCATCCATTGGAACGGGTCCTTGGATGTCTGGTTCGCGCTTCGGAGATTCTCAGCTGGATGCACCTCGGCGTGAGGAGTCGTCGGGGTTTGGAGGGGAGGGACTCTCGCGGTAAGCCCGGAGGCTGGCGGAGCGGGTGGATTGGGGCAGGTTACGTGGTGGCCATTCAAAAGCGACACCACTTCCGCGGGGCAAGTGAACCATGAAAGAGAGTCAGCGGATTTTGCATCATATCATCATATCCTCCAGTGTTTTGTTTGGAGTGGAGAGCTGGTGAGACGATATATCTCATACATCAAAAATTGGGCTCAGCTCCCAAGACTATCGTGCCGTGTAATGCGTGTTTGTCAGTAGGATCATGTGCGTTTGCAAGGAAAACATAATGAAAAGAATGAGAGAGAGCGAGGGAGGAGAGCAAACCAGTTGTATTCAACAATTTACATCTAGAGTCACTTGCTTTTGATTTTTTGATCACCCCAGATCTTGAGATGACGGAGATGAGGTGAACATCCAAGAATCCATCCGGAAACAGGGATCCGGAGGTATACCACTAACTATAATGAAAGCCTGCACACCTTAAAAAACGGAAGCGTTGGACACCCCACAACGCTGTGGAGCCACAGAAGTGATCAGTTTCCTCTATGGTGTTCTCAGTGTCCGACCGGGCTTTCGTCTCTCGAGGTCTTGTCTATTTGGTTGGGCCAAGCCCTGGTGGCCAAGACTTGGACGGGACACTTGCTGTCGGAACCTTGGCAGAGTGTGAACACATCCGGATGGCACCCATATGAACATGGGTGAAACATGGAGAACATGGAGAGTGAGAGTCTTATTTCCATTGGTTAAGTTGATTTAAGGTGTCATCAAAGAAACAACATCTCCAGTGCAAAAAGAAGCACAACCTTCCAAACTCTTCGAGCCACAGTTTGGCTTCTTTTTGAGCCCTAAGTTCAAGCCATCGGCCCGCAAAACAGCTCATCCCCGCTACATCGTCATTTCACTGGTACCGTGTTCAGAGGTTGGGAGCAGCTTCGAAAGTATGTTCTTATATATATATATGATTGTTTATGTTGTTTTACATATACTTTGTGTACCCTATAGTATGATAGCAAATTTCTTGCACTGATACTAGATGATTCCACAGGCAACCATGATGTTGTGCGGATTTTGGGCCTTGGAATATCTTGGAATCAGGAGACCCCCAGCCAGAGAATGCCAGCACACTCACAATCCCAACCAGAAGAAATCCATACAGACAACCCCGTGGCCAGAGCACTAAGGACTACTACCTCTATTCTTACTTCACCGAGAATCCGGGGAACCAGTGTTTCCTGCATTCCTCCTCGTGCCGTGGCGCATAGAAGCGGAGGGCACACCGTTTGGCACGCCGTCTTTGTAGAGGACGTTTGGACAGCATGCTGTTTGCATTCATGCTGGATCACCCACAGGTTTTGGACCCAACTACTGCTCACAAGCACGCTGTCCTTGTAACCCGTGTATGTCACACACAAACATCACATTCTTGGATAGAAATGCTTTCTGAAAGGCCTTGGGTGTGTCTTTGGCATCCGCAAATTGCACTGAGAGCACGGGTTGCTCTCACGGAGCGTTCAGGCGATGTGGTGATTGCCTGTGGACCTGTTCGAGCAAACAGTTCCCACCAGGCTCGAATCGGACATCAGCTGATGTTTGACCCTTTGCAACGCGAGGTGTTGATGATGCGTGTCTACTTTTATTTTTTCTAATGTATGTAGTTCGGTGTGTTTCTTTGTTGCGTTTCGGCCTTTGTGTGTGTATGTGCGTGCGCTGGGTGAACAAAAGACTTTCTCACAATCAAATGTTGATAATGTTGTGACGCATCTATTGCCACGAAACAACATCCCGTCATCTAGCTCAGAGAATAAACACAAGAACCACGTGAAACGACTAAACAACAGAAAAGAAAGCTTTACTTTACAGTACCCATTCAGCATTTATGAGTTTGAGAGATGGAAGCCACAACGCACCGCGGTCACCGGTGTGCTATACATGCATCGATGCATGTGGTGGGCAGGCAGCTTCTACCTGCAAGACAAGGGCTTCATGTCGCAAGATCACAGTAAGCCTTGTGTGCTGCAGAGCGAGTTTGCATGCCCGTCCAACGGCACCTGGGCAGTTTTTTAGACTGAGGATGCACAATGACAATACACGTTATTTGTCTTGTGTGGAGCAAATATAAAAGGGCCACAAGCCCTATGTTTCTCAACAGGTGTGGCCATGATTATCCACAAGCCACCATGGAACCGGCAGATGGTTCCTTTCTTGGGTTTGTCAATAACGTTTGTAGCTATACCCTCCCACCATCCCAGAAACACAGGACTGAGCTTGTAAAGCTGCCTAGACCATAGAGGTTTCGGAAGATACATGCTCGTTTCGGGGAGGGCAACGGTACGTAACGCCGGGAATCATGCGACCAGGCATTGAGATGCTCGGCTGCAACTCTGGATGGTCCAGCCATCCAGGGCTCTATGAGTGGCCCACGCCTTGGGTTTGTGTGGGCTGGGGCTGGGGTTCTGGACTTCAGGATAGAAAATCAATCGAATCTCAGGATATAGATGATGAGACTGTTAATTTGTTCATTTACAATTGTTGATTGCTGTGTGACTGTTTGTTCACTCTATATACTTGCCCATTTCTTCGTGATGCAGATTCCAACTAATTATTTGGTTGGCTTAGTGGTGGAATGTCTCCTTCCTTCTCTTCCGCGTTCGGTCAAAAACCTACTGAATGGCACGAACAAAGAGAGCGGACCCTGAAAGCATTGGCTCTTTGATGCTCTTTGTAAGGACTATCTTTTGGAACTTTGGATTGAAGCCGGCATCCGAATTGTGGAAGACCTTGGAGAAAGTCTTGATCGAGCACAAGGACCAGAACACACGTTCAGCCACCTGGGCTTAACATCACTGGCTCTCCCAAGGAATTGGTCACCCGCAGGAAGGAGGGGCAACCGGTGTTCCCAGAAAGAGGGCGAACAACACGTGCACGGGCCAGGGTGACGGATTTCAGGCTTCCTGGCGGATTTCAGGTTGAAGAGCTCCTATGGAATTAGAAGAACTTGCGACTGGTCGAGTTCCCTATGCCATATGGAGTATGGAGAGGGCTTTTGTGGGGAAGGATCAAGGGAGTGCATGACTGCTCATATGACCGATTGAAGTTTGTTTCCTTCGTGACGGTGCGGCGGAAGGGGAGGTGGCCATGACAGATGGTGGCAGCATTGGGAAGACCACAGGGTCGATATGAAATATGTGGGAGAGGCTACTTTGGAGTGATGCAGGTCAGCCTCAAACCAAAAGAGCCCATTGGTTTAGTTTTGCAACCGGTTGCAACAGGCCCGAGGCCAGTCGCAGCATGTCTCACGCAGATTTACTTGGTGAACATAAATCGTGCGCATAGTCTGCAGAATTTGAGATCGGAGATGATTTGACTAGCTGCACATGTTCCGTTTCCAACCTGTTTCCAACTCAGCAAAGCTGTGGGATTGTTGGCTGAGAAAGTTAACATTCTTGGATTGACACTGAAATCTGTGGCCGTGCCGGCTGCAGAAGGTTTCCCAGGTTTCAGGTTAAGATGTTCCAAGGTTTGAAACGGTCTCTCTTCAGGCCCCACTCCCAAAGACAAAGGTGGAAGTGCAGTTGCGGCCCTGTGGAAGACGAATTTCCTATGCCAACAAAGGGTTTTCCAATTGGGCTTTCAAGGCTTTTCCCCACTTCTGCTACTAGAGAGGACCTATACCTCGACGATGACAAATGATCTCACAGTCACAGAACTCAATGATAGGATGAGTACTAGGAAGTGATTTTGGAGCAACCAATGTGCTTCGACTTGTGATGGTTGGGCAGCAGGGTGATGATCGGAGATGGTTGTTTGCATTAGACAACACTTGAAAACAACTGTTCTGTGAGTGGGTTTGGAGGTGTTTGTTTGATGTTTGTTCCTTGAGGTCTTCGATCGGCTCTTTGATGAATTATCAAGCTCACTGCATCAGAAGTTGGACCCATATGCTGGCAAGGCCAGCTGAAATTTGTCAGGCTCCAAAGGGAACAAGGGAAAGACTGGTCAATTTGGGGTCATAAATCTGTAATTCGATAATATGTTGGTTGAACCGAGAGATCCCCCAAAAATCCCCCCAACCGGTATTTAGTATTAGCTTTCAGTACAACATGGTTGGATAAAACAAACTCGTCGGTAAGTGGAGGCCCTTCGCTGCCGACGTCGACATGTGCTACATGTGTTCCACGGTCAGTGCTCGCCTCCCAGTCATGGGAGGCGCGAGCGCCTAAGTCATGATGCGCAAGTCATGGCACGCCCAATCCAAAGGCTTTGACTTGTTTGATTTGACTTACAGGTTGGTGGGAGAGTGAACACTGTCCATTTTATTGAGGGGGATCCAGTTGGTACTCGACCTGGGGATGTCTACAAGTTTATTTGCATGGCATAAAGCTGGGAGATGCAAGGATCAGCAATGATCAGCAATGCATGCCGCGCCAGTCAATATCTACGTATATACATATATTATATATATATACGTATATTTATAGTAATCATACCGTCGGCGTATAATGATGAATGTGGTACTGTACAGCCTAATCTGTACATGGCATTATATGCTCGTGAGTCATGGGCTGCCATCAGATTTTTCCTCTAGATCAAAGGTCAAGACCTGAAGACATGTGCAGTAGAGACCAGGACAAAAATTCACCGTCGGAGTGTCGCCGTCAAATAGCTGAGCTTCTGCCAGACTAGGGAGGGAGGGGGAGAGAGAGAGAGAGAGAGAGAACCAACGGCAATCCAAATCCAAGTCTTTGGCCACTGCACTCAATACCATGGACCCAGTTCCCTCGCCGAACTCAGACCGATCGGTGACATTTCAACCTGGCAGGCAGCGACCAGCTAAAGAGACAGGAGAGACGATGCGGAGTTGGTCATAATTAGACGGTGCAGTTCAGAGGAACAATTGATTCGTCCTCCCCGCCGTGGATGTACCCCATCAGGTGCAGATCAGACAATGGATCGAAGAGCAACACTCACAAACTTGATCAAACTTGGACAACTTTGGAGAAGCATGTGTCATCACGTGTCCAACTGCCTGACAGAATGATGCAACATGCTTCTACATCGGCTTGTAGACTGGTGTTTGGGCTGTGCAAATCCCCTGGCGAGGAAAATCCGATGTAGTCCGATGTGCCAACGGGGCATCCACGATTGGAAGGGTGAATCACCCCTGACGTTCAATGCAGCTTTATGTTGCTGAGGCGGCTGGCCTTTGTGGAACTGCACATGACATCACATGACGGGTTTTCTGGATGTTGAGTGCTCACGATCAACCATCAAGAGGATTCTGTAAACATGATTTTGGCTCATGACAAAGAGACAAGGGGCAGTGTTCCACTTCCGGCATTGCCCCGACTGTGCACGTAGAAAGAGGAGAGGTGCCGGCTTTGCACTGCAGGGTGGTAGGAAGACAAAGGGTCATTGATGATGGGCAGCATGTTTAGTGATAGTGAATCAATGTGAATTCATGTCAAGCACGGCAAGCATATGCAAGCATATACTGTAAGTCATCCATCATGTCGCATTTTTGGATCATACATGATGCTTCCCTTTTATGCTTGTTTTACGAACACTTGCTCTTTTTTTCACTAGGTTGTTGCTGTGAGCGACGAGTAATTAATTAGATGGCACCCAATCAGCCATCATTTTGGGATTTGTGTAATCGATCTACTGAGATCACTTTCGTTTCAACGACTGAAACCACTCTTGCTGAGTCTCGTCCGTCCAGATGTGGCATGGTGGGGTGTCGCTTAGTCTCTTTCGTTTCAACGGCTGGAAACAGAACCTGCAAGATCATGGCATGCTTGCAAAAAATGCGTGTAAATGTAAATGGGCACTGTGGAGCTGTTGTGCCTGGAAGTTTGGCGCCAACATGCGCCAACCATTGCTGCCGCCACCTCTCCCGGAAGATTGCCCCTCCGAATGGAGGACTGGAATGATATGAATTGGAATCCAATGGATGCCAAAGGCCTTTTATGAACTTCCAGGGATCGCGCAAGTGATAAAGTTTCTTTATGTTTCTTTGATGGCATGTGGGAAAGAAGAAGTCTGGAGCACTTTTGGGAGTTGCAGATTTGGTGATGCTCGGCTATTCGCTTTGAGGGTTTTGATACGGGAATTGTTGATCTCCTAAAGAGTCTAGCCCAGGGTCAACGTCAGATGGCTTTGGGCATGGAAGATGTATAACAGAGACTCTTAGTTACAGCGCACGGAGAAGCTGTTAGTGACTTAATTAGTGGACATATTTTTGAGTAGCTAGGCATTATGGACCAGGGTGTAGGTTTAATAGTGCAATTGATATTTATATACTGTAATTCTAAACGGATGATTGCATATCGTCCGCATCATTTCTATTTTCCAACTGGATGCTCATTTGGAGCATCGTCATGGGAGATGTGCTTTTGGCTGGAGGAAAATGCTGGAGCTACCCAGGCATCATGGATGCCAGCAACTCAAGACCGAGGAGTCGGTAAAATCAGGGCCTTGATCATCCAAAGAACCCAACAAAGTCTTGGGCGCTTTGCTTTGCAAGCTCAGGTAAACACGCCAGTCGGTTGCTGCATGGCTAGTGTAGCCACCTAGCCCAGCATCCAAAAGCGACTCTCGTGAAGAAGTGCAGGGACGGTTGTTCAAAAAGGCTTGCGTTGCAGCTACCCAGTGCATTTTGGGGGCGAATGAGGCGTTTCCCGCATAAATAAACATCAAAAACGTGCTCAGTGCTCAGCCCCTGTGCGTTTCACACGCGCGTCACGGAGAGGCTGGCATGTGGCCGAGCACTGTTCCAGGGGCGTATGGAACCTCAGATACGACGGCGCCGGTGGATAGGGGAGGGCTCCATGCAGTCCAGACTCTGAGAACGACGAGACAAGTGACCTTGCGTCCCCAACTCTGGGAGGCACAACTCTGGGAGGACTCGGTCTGTCGAGATCCGCAAGACGCACTCTTCAAATCTGACCTGGTTTGGTCCTTTTGTGCCTGCAAACAGTTGCAAACAAGCATTATAGACAACAGGGGCCAAGCTTTGAACACGTGCAGACCTTTTCGCCCCGTTTGTTGACGATTTAAAAATTCAGCACGAGGCCGTGATTCTTCATTGTGTTCAGCACTAGGCACGAAGAGAAGATCGAAAGCGTACAGTACTGTATATTCAGCACATGTTCACATCGCTGAATTTCACAGCGAATTCCGAGGCCTTTGGGTGTGGTGCCAAGAGAGCCCACACGGTTGCCACCATTGACAGGCGGCAGTTTGGATCCGGGCCCCTGCATACCGCCCAAATGGGCACCATACCACTACATGATGTGAGTTCGCTTAGAAGGGTTTTGTTGCATGGCTGTGGCAACATGATGTGAAAGGCGACAGTGGCATGCAATTCAGAATCCAACCATTGATGTATCCTTAGACTTAGAATGCATGAATACTTTTTTTGGCGACTTGTAGATGCTCTTGAGCACCACCCTTCGCACCATCATCTTCCAAATAGGGACCACCTTTGGTTGACATTTGATTGACTCCTTTGAGCATGGTTTCGCATGGCTGAGCGAACTTTGAACCGGATGGCCCGAGCACGAGCAGCACCGGATCGCCTGTCTTCAGGTGATGGAGACGAGGAGGCTGCTGGAGACGTCTCGGTGGGGGAGGTGATGGGGGAGGCTGCGTGTGTCCTGACACGCCTTGAGACGGTCTGGGTGAGGGAGACCCTCAGCGGGTCTCTTGTATCAACGGCGGCAGAAAGCCCATTTGAACTCAGTGCATTAGTTGTGCAATGATGTCCACCTGAGATTAGCCAGCTTCTCCTGGATAAAACCATGGGGCAGTTTGCGCAATTGTGTTTCCTGACGTGGCTAAACACGACGAACAAAGATTGGGTCATGCATGGTCATGCACCCTGATGCAGATGTTGCGGAAACTGTATAGTTCCAACCCTATCTCTCATTAGGGTGATGCGAGTTCCCAAACCTGACCTCATGGATTAGGATCATGTCACGGTGTGTCAGGTTTCCTTTCGTTGAGGTTCGTTTTTTGGGGACAAATTTACAAAAAAATACTTCACAACGATTTGTTTGGAGGCTCGCCAGTTTGCCATTTCCCTTTGGAGAGGTCACGAGTCACAGCAGGGGGGATAGCGATGTCGACAGGTCGTCACACGTTTTGAAAGAGAAGCCGACTGGTCGCACAGGGAGCCATCGAATGAACACACGAGTCACGAGCCCTCGTGTCGCTCGCTTTAAAGCCCTCCAAGGTGTGAGTCTTCCGTTGGTTCCATCGCCGTTGGCCGGGGCCGCATCGGGGTACACTGGTAATGCTTCAGATGAAGCCGGTGGGTTTTGTGCTTCTGAAGTGTCCTCGGTTTCTGTGGCATTGTGTGCAGCAGCTTCAGACAAGAAGTTTCGTGAAATGTCCATCGAACATTTGTCTACCGTATCTACCAGTGGTGATCCTGGGTTTGGGTTTAGGGGATCGATATGATACTAATATGTGTTTCTTTTTTCAGCTCTTGGAATCCCCCGTTTGCTATTGCTGAGCTCACCTCGCTGGCCAGGCCAAGCGCGGCACCCGACCCCGCAGAGGCGAAGCCCGAAGCGAGCCGGTGCACCGAGCTGAAGCTGGCAATTGAACAAGAGCAAAACGGACGAAGCCAAAATTTGTTCTGCAGATTTATGTAAGAGCAAAGGACCATGCTGGGTCAAGCCTGATGACATAGGCCTTTGGAAACGCCATATATGTTCGACAAATCCTAAGTTACTCGTCAGTATTGTATATATAAACATATTATTACTCTATCAACCTCTTGAATCACCTGGCATAACATGCAAAAACCACAAGGAGTAAGAATTCCAAGGCGTTCTTTTTCTTGGGTTTCTGTTGTGCCATGGGAGGTTCTTCAGTTAATTCAGACTACTTTAAGTCATATCATCAGGCCGCAACCATCACAATCCATGGAAAAATGAGGCGTTCGGTGAAGATGCTTGATGTTGTCCTTTTTTTGATTGTGGAGGCGTCCAAATGGTCCAAAGGTCCTATGATTCCCCACCCAGACATCCTGTCCTGCATTAGCCTGTATTGCTCGATGTGTGAGCGCCGATGATTATTCAGCCTTTGGGCTAGGTCATTTGTGGGTACGTCACTTGAACTACAATATGCCTAAGTGACTAGACAGCAGTGTAGATGTTCAAACAGTTACTCTCCCTCCAACAAAATATGGAAGTGGAACATGGCCTCTTGGAAGATTGTTTTCCTCTACAAACCGGTGGTTTTCCACTTCCATGATTGTTTCAGGGAGGATACCTACAGTGCTTGAATCACAGCCAGGACCCGTTGGACCCATTGAGTCGAATCCCAAAAAGAGGTCGACCTCCGCATGCCCGGTCGTTTCATACATGTTCTACATCGTTGGATGCCCCGTTTGCAAGCTACTTTCCGCTCATGATCGATTCCCACTCTGGGAGGTGCGAATGATATGGCCTCCTTGTCGCAACTTGGCTGGGTTTGTGTCACTTCCGTCCTTTTACAAACCTCAAAGTCTAAACAAATGGGGGTGCTGGCGACTTGCCGTCGCATTGGGTGAACACCTACTTTGGGAGTGCTGAACATGTTGGTGAGCCATTCACCGCCCCAGGCGGAAACGTCGCGACCTGGCGCTGGCGAACCGCGAGCACGCCATGCCACGCCTCGGTGTTTTGAACAGGGCATGCTATGGCTTTGTGGAATATGGAGTCCAACAATTGGTCCCCTTTGGTTTTTGATAGGAAGGTAGACCTGGAAGAAGGATTAAGAAACTCATCCCAACCTCAGGCCATTTTTCTTGCCAGCTGATTTCAGTGAGTGGGACCCCTTCAAGGGGATGCAGGCAGGCACAAGACCTACAGAATCCTACAGATATATTTTCTCATTCAGCCCTCTCTCTGCTGTACAGTCCCCATCTTCGGCCGGCCATGCCTTATTCCCGAATGCGTAGCGAAGGGTTCTCGTTTGACTCTTGGGGGTCTGGGGGTGGAGCCTTGTTCGCGACCCGTTGGTTCTAAGTTCGCAACCGTCCGCAACCGTCCGCAGTAGAGCGCTAAGGCGCTGCCATTGGGGGAAGCTTTTGCAAGTGACTTTTCATGGGTGTGTCACGTGTCAGTTTGCGCCGCTATTCCATTGTGATTTGCATGAAAATGAGATGTCGCGCAAGAAATGTGATGCGTTTCGCTGCACAGGCGCAGCGTTTTGTGAGATCTGCAGATTGCTGCGCAGTTCCATTAGGATTAGCGTTTGGAGAGTCGTGTTTTTGGGGTGTTGGATGTGGCCGTGCCATTGGGATTTGCGTTTCAGGGTGTGGCATCGAAGCTCTGTTTTCGTGACAAGTCTCAGCTGAAATGCCGATTTTGGTGGATGGGAGTGTGCTCAGAACGGGTCGAAATCATTCCAAACGTGTGGTGTGGTGCAAATTTTGTTGAAGCTCACATGAGATGATATTGTCACTTTTCGTGGCAGGCGCAGGACTTTGTGCGGCTTTTGAGGTGTGGAAGTGCGATCCTCGTGGCAGGCGCAGGGAATCGTGAGGTTGCGAGGTGTGACGGAGGTGACATTTCGTGGCAGGCGCAGTACTTTGCGCGCGTTAGACGTGTGGACGGCGGAAAGATTCGTGGCAGGCGCAGGGAATCGGGAGGTTGTGTGAGTTGTGGAATGTCGCTGTCACATTGGGATTGGCGTGTCGTTTGGAGGGGCTGGAATCGCGAAACTGCTTGGCAGGGCTGCGTGATATGTGTGCTCCGATGGGTGTTTCCGCTGGACTTTTGGAGGAAGTCTCGTGCGAAACGTTCGTTTTGCGGACAGTTGACATGTGAGTTTTTGAGGAAGTCTCGTACGAAACGCTCGTTTTGGGGACTTGACGTGTGACTTTTGGAGGAAGTCTCGTACGAAACGCTCGTT